AAAAAAAAAAAAATCAGATTTTGCACGCAATAGATGGTTATAGTGTGTGTACACGCTGGAAATTGGCAGATAACTGTATAAATTGGAAAATGGAGAAGAAACGTGAACTGAATGACAACTTGGAGTTTTCCAGATGAATACTTGTCAAAACACTAAGGCCTCGTTTACTAGGATTGATGGGATTAGACAAATTAATCTTCTCAACTTTCCACCTCATCATTTGTATCATGTTTACATTGTAATGCTAATATTTACAAACTAGGATAAGATTATCTGATTTTAATTGAAATGACTAGTGTGCCCTTATCTTCTCTTCCCACTTCTCCTTGTATACACACATACAAGCAAATCGATGCCTGAAAATAAAACAGAATAAATTATAAATGTGTGAACATGAATTACTAATCAAAGCATCAATCTGCACTACTTAATTCACACCCAAATCATCAACCTCTTAACAAAATGACCCGATTTCACATAAGGAATTTTTGAAATAAACCATAACAATAAAAATCCCATTTACACAAAAAAACAAATGTAGAAAGATCAAAAACTGAGTACATAGAAGATTGATAAATTACAGGTACGAAATGTACCTGTCACAAAAGATTGATAAAGCCCAAACGATTTGAAATAAGTGGGCGAAAAAAGAAAAAAAATGAAGAACACATACTTGGGCAGCATTAGGGTTTGTCGGTCGCACGAATTGTGTGAAAATGACACAGAAATATGATTTATATGACCAATTGTGTAATTTGATGGACAACAAAGGGTATTTTAGACATTTTAAATGGTAATTTTTGGACAAAAGAGTAATTTGAAAACAAGGATAAAATTATCTGACCAAAATGGTGGGACAAAAAAATCCAGCCACTCAGCATTTAAACGTGGGACCCGCTTGCCACATCTGCCAAATCCTATTTCCTATACCACCTAGTAAATGTATGATAAGGTTGGTTAACCAACCTTATCCAATCCTATCAAGGCTAGTAAACGAGGCCTAATAAAATAATGAGTGCCAATTGCCATATGAGATTATAAGCAATAGCCCCCATACAAGCTAAGCTGCATTGCTTTAAAATTAAGAAAGATTGTGTATGTATTCAAAACTCACATAATCTACATGAAAAGGCAAGACAGAGCGAATCTCAGAATAGTCTTCTTCACGAGGAGAGGTTGCAGATTTTAAAATCCTTTTTTGAAAAATTTGCCAATAAAGGTTTGATGCTTTTTCATAAATGTCTTTTTATTTATTTATTTATTTATTAAATTCATGCAGAAACTTCCCTATCCTAAATTGACTCAATTCGAGGAAATAGGAGGTATGGACTTTTTGAAAAAAAAAAAAAAAAAAAAAAAAAAAAAAAAAAAAAAATGAATCTAACAGACATTTATGTGTGTGTGTGCGATCAAATTCTAAAAATTCGATGAATGCAGAAAATAGGTGAGAAAAAAAAAATGTTATGTTGTTTAACATCACAAAATAAATAAATAAATAAATAAATAAATAATAAAAAATGTTGTATAATTATACTATCGAAGTTCACAATTTTATTTATGTTGTATATTTGAATCTATAATTATATTAAAAGAATAACCATTTTAGAAGTTTCCCACCAATTTTATCTACATTACCCGCCAATTATCTAGATAAATTCACCAGCCAATTTCATTAAAAGTGTCCTAAAAAATAGTAAGTGTCCAACAATTTTGAATAAGGAAACAAATCGACTGATTTTTAGGGTAGAAATTTGTTATTCTCTTTTCTGTTTTTTAGTATCTTTTCTGCCTTTAAAATCGTTTCCAATTCCAATAAAGTTTATCCCTAACATAAATCTACACGAGTTTATCTCTCATCTGTTACGAAATCCAGTACACGACAATTTAAAAAATCTCGCAATTTAAAAAATTTCATCCCTTATCTACATATTTAAAATAATTTAAAAAATCTCATCTCTTATCTATACATATTTAAAAAAAATTCCCTTACTAATATTTTTGCAAATATTATAAACTAGCAATACATCCTTGATAATAACATAAAAAGTATAATAATAATTTTAATAATTATGCGTAATCAAATTTTGTTAGATGAAAATAACGCTATCTGAATGTCTTTATTAAATTAGGCTTATAATATTTTAGATACTTTAAACAAATTGGTTAGACATTTTTTTTTTACATATTCGTCTATATATACATATATATAGACACATGTATACCTAATTGATGTTAAATTTAAATATATGTAGACATGTTTTCTTTACAAAATAGTCTAGAAAATTCTTTTTTGCACAATATTAAATTCAAATGTTTTTAGATATGTTTTCTTTCTAAAATTGTTTAGAAAAGTTGTAGGTGATTTCACATCTTTCAAAAATAATATAAATTTTTTTGAATAATTTTCCATATACTAATATAATATTTTAGGTATTTTAATATTAAACATCCAAATTTTATATTCTCTTATACAAAATCATGCAAATTTTATATTCTCTTATACAAAATAATTTTATATTGTTTGACCCCGAATCTTCAATTTATAATTATTAAGTATTGTTTATCCTCCTATTTAATTTATAATTATTTTTTTTTCCTCTTTTTAAATAGGATCAATAATAGTTTCCACTTCCGCCATTGAGTGACTCAAACTCGAGGTCTATTTATAATATTGTTGATTTCATACTGTTTCCGTGCATCGCACGGGACACACACTAGTTATGATAATTGAGTATCATATAGATACGGTGGCCCTCCAATGTTATAAATTTGGCGGTTTTGACTTTTATGATGACACAACAGGGCAGGTATGACATTACGTTTGCTCACAGTCATTTATCTGGCATAAGCTTTTAAACGAGCCAGAGGGGAGCTCGAGCACTTGAGCCCTTAGCAAGTCGAGCTCATTTAATAAACGAATCATAAATTAAGTTTGAGTTCGACTCGTTTATCATTTTAACTGTCGCGTTCAAGCAGATCTCGAATTTTAATCGGCCGAACTATAGAAATTATATAAAAATTCTTTTTTTTTTTTTATCCTTATCAAGCTGAGACGAGCCGAGTTCAGAGTTGTTAAGACCTCAAGCTCGTGCCGAACTCGAGTCTAGTCGAGCCGAGCCGAGACAGGTCAAAGTTTAAATTTAATAGTATCCAAAGGAAACCATATTGGCTAGCATAAAATTCTCCTTCAAGTTCACTTTATCCCTACTTTCCCATTTTGCATATCAAATCAAAACCAATTGCATGGCCCATTTTATTTTTATTAGATTAGAAGGCTTGTATTATTAGTGCCTTTTTGTCCACTTAGGGCATCCACATCCCTTAACACTCATTCAAGCACAATTTACACTCTCTTTCATCCACATCATCTCCACATCATTTTTCCACTAAACATCTCTCCATTTAAACACACACCCACATTCAAATAATTCATTTAAACATAAACATATAGGACCCATTACATACTCATTCAATACTATTTTTATATTTTATTCTTAATAAAAATAAATGTATTTTTTAATTAGATTATTTAATTTTAAAATACACTAAATATTATTAGATTTAAAAAAAACATAAATTAAGATTAAAAAAAAAATAATAATAATTGAAAAACTAAAACAAAAAAAATAATTAAATAAGTAATTGAAAAGAAAAGAATACAAAACAAAAATAAACAAATCCAATGAAAACAAAACAGAAAAAAAAAAGAAATAAAAAAAAAGACACCAGGCGTTCAATGCAATGAACGGCCAAGTGGGCCCCCCTATATAATGAACGCTTCACATCCATGTTAAACGGGGGGCTTCGTTTAAACACCTAAATAACGCTACCGATGCAGATGCTCTTAAATCAAAAGTTCCAACTGAACTCATAGTTGCGTTATGTGTCCCGAAACATACACTACTGGATAATACTTGATGGCCCTTGACTACTTCCATATATTTTATGAATTATGAATGAAATAGTCGGGACAATTTGTTCACGAACATCTTACAATTGCGAACGACCCATTTAAGGTTTTAAATGTATTAAAAGTAAAATTAACCGAAACGAATTGTCACGAACTTTAATGAGCCAAGCTCAAGCTAAGTCGACTTGTCTATTAAACGAGCAATGATAATAAGCCAAGCTCAAGCTGAGCCGAGACGAAGAGGGCTTAGCGCAGCGGCGCATACCTCAGCTCGGCGTATCCCATATCCCGAGTTCGAGTTACTGAGAGGAGAATTGGAGAACTAGAATTAATTTCATGTGTGAAACGTATAATTACTTGCGAGTGCGCTAAGTGTAGTACGAACGTGAGTAAACAATGTAAAAAGCGGAAGCAATAAACCGAAGATTTTAAAACTCTTCAGGGAAGCGT